CTGCGGCGGCCCAAGCCGGCCTGGATAAGCAGACTTGGCGAGCCGCACCTCGTCATCCATGAGCTTGGCCGGGTCGCACAAGGCGCCCATGCTCCTCTTCATGTGCACGCACCCCGGGGCCTCCCTCAGCGCGTAGTTGTCATTCTTGATCTTGCGAGACCTGTCGGACGGGTCGTCCTCGTAGACCTCGTAGGCGTGGGATATGCTCGAGCCGGGAATGGGACCGGTCGCCGCGAACTCCTGGTTGTGGCCGACGGCGGGATTCTTCTCCGGCGGGAAGAGGCCCGGCACCCAGTATCCGTCGGGCACGTCGGTGGGCGACACGACGTACACGTAGCCCCTGCCCGTCTTGGCCCCCGTCCGGCCAAACGCGTATCCCTCGGCCGATCGGCGCGATCGGGAGAGGGACACCAGGCCCGACTCGCCGACAAAACTCAGGTGACGCTGCAGGCTGAGGTCGTGGCCTCGGGGCGCGAACCCCGACGCAAATACTTGTTCCGGGGGGCGGGAGTCGCCGCGGTAGAAGACTCCGGGTTTGCCGCCGCCGGGTAACTTTATCCGGGACGCTTCTTTTGCCGATATAACCGGGTGTTCCTCTATAGTCGGCAGCTTTGCCGGGCGTGATGCCGTGTGTTTTGGGCTGGCCTGACGCTTGAGAATGGCCCCTCGAAGAACCAAGTTGCGCGTGTTGAATGTTGTGTTGTGATTTGGGGGAACTTGGAGACAAGTTTTGCCCACGGGAGCAGAACCATTTTGGAAGCCGTCGGAGCTCTGGACAATACTTTGTTCGGCAAAGTGCGGACTTGTGACCAAGGGGGCTGCAAGGGCGCGAATTGCCAAGACTACGAGCCACTGATATGCCTTCATATTTGACCGGCAATGCCAAGAGCTTTTGTGCCGTAGCCTTGAATGTGATCAATTTGGTTTGTTGAGGGGGAAAAGAACCTAAAAGTTCGCAAAGCATGGAATGCGGACGGACGAGCACACTCTCAGACATCGGCCAGTCTTATATTGTCAGACCCAAAAGGAACACACAAGACATGTTTATCGGGTGTATTCGGCCAAGTGCCACTATTGCGGGATTGGTTTTGATCCATGAGTCTGTGGTAGAAACCAATATTGCCGTGGCATGTTGCATTCAACTCGGCGGGCCTAGCCGAAGGTGCAAAATCCATGTCCCTCACTAAGCAGTTGTCTATTGGTACGGCCCGGAATAAATGGGCTTCTTGAGGAAGAGTGGGTGTGGTATTCCGATATCGTTGATATAATACAACATTAATATAATTACAGTCGTATGGACAACTAATATCACCGTCTCGGAAAAGCGTCTCTAATCATAGCTGTATTTGAACGCGGCGGGGCAACGATTCAACGATTCAACGTCAGCTCCAACTAGAGATTAACTTGAAAAGTAAAAGAAGCGGCCAGGTTACTACATCAGCCAGCTACACAGGGCATATCGATTTCGCAGTCCCGAATCGTATCCCCTCCGTTCTCTGGCCACTCGGTGTAATGCACACGGGCAAGCATGGAGTGTCCTATACCGCGGATAGTTCGTAAAGGCTATTAACCGAAATCAAAATTACGATAGCAAGAAGAAGCGTCGGCGAAAAGGTTTACGCGAGAAGACTTACCAACACTCCACGCCTCAACATGGTAGCAATTCGTCATAATACAATACATTGAGGCACTCTTTGGCATCACGCCTTTTACTTCCTCTCCCCACGCCCTTGTATATAGCCTTCAAGTGTTGTGGTGAGACTGTCGGCGGGTTTACGGTAGTAAATTATCCAATACTGGAGAGCATATATATTGCTTGCTTGGATAGGGACATGAATTACTTGATTGAACTTGCCGTTGCTAGTACTATTCCATGAAAGTAAAGGGCAAATACACCACATGATATATGTATATATGAATAGTAAGTTGCAATAGAAGTTTTAGCATCGTTGGATCCGCTGGGACCATCTGCCTTGATCATGGTTGTCAGGATCAGAGACACGCCCGGGAGGATACACCAGAAACGGTATAACGAACCGCCTCTTCACATGCCGTGTTCTAGAGTGCAGACTTTACTTGAGTCATTCCATCTCACCCCACGCACCCACATGGCAACACCACATGGCAACACCACATGCCAGAATACTGGGGATGCTTCTCCACGAGATCCGTAGCACGGATCCTGTGGGCGCCCTAGCCAGCTTCGATTAATTACTATAGGTCACAGAATTTGACATATTGCTCGCAAGACTTTACATTTGGTGAATCCATTAGAATGAGAATACCTTGACGCTTGTAAAAAAGCATTTCTCGGGCAGAGTACAAGCCTAGACTTGAATACCGCTATATCATCACTTGAGTTGTTCATGTTTTATTTTGTATCAAGGGCCGATGGAATGATTTGCTTTTCTAGAAGAGTCATCATACATCAAGTAGTATTACCATTTCGCCGTCGGGCGCTCGTAGGCCGTCAATGGGCGTTTCCAAGTCCAATTCGGCGCTTGGGTCTACGCCGGGCCGATGGGCATTCATATCGGCAAACGGTCTTTGAGAAACTAAAACTCCTTCATCCCTCTTCCATAAACGATTCAACGTGCCGTGAAATGGCTTTGGCACCACCAACCAAAGACGCAGCATAGATGAACAAGATAAAACCAACCCAGTCCACGGCTCCATGCCATTTTCAGTCATCATCCCGAGTGCCCACATTCACACACTTTCCCATAAGCAAGACTTGCTTCGCGAAAGTCGCCCGGCGTCATGAGTGGCTCAGAGTAGCCAACGCCAACCTTGACCGGCCAGGTATACATACTACGTACTAATAAATGGAGGGCAGCGCGACACCAGCCTTGCCAAGACCATGGCAACCCCACGCGCAATTTCGCAATCTACGGAATTGTCCTCGGAACGAGACCGGGCGGCAGAAGGTCTTGGCCGAGCGGGATCCTGTGAAAATTCAAACCGGGGACCCGTGGGAAGGGCTCGGGACTCCATTCCGCCCAGCATTTCTGGGGCCCGTGGCTGGCGGATGCAGCAGGGAACCCGCTGGCGCTTCCCTGGCTGTCGGAGAGTGCCGAGGAGATGATGTGGCAGGGGAATCGAGACGAGGCCCCGGTGTGATGTTTCGCTCCTCTGCTGGCCATCCGCGAGCCCTCTCCTCAGGCTGGAGCATCGGCGTCGGGGTAACTAGGCATCTGCCTGAGAGACGCGGTTCGCGCTCAACTTGGATTCGGGACATCTTGTAGTTTTGGGGATACGTGTCGCAGGCAAGCAAAAGGAATAGTCTTGATGGGACCAAATACATAGTCGAAGTACCGGTCATAGGCACACTCGCATATCAAGCTGCACAACCGTCTGGAGTAAGAGCCAACCTACATAGAACCTTTTCTACTTCTCATCATGAATAGAGTAGCAAGTCAACGTACACCAAAGACACGCACAAGTGCTTTTGTTCCAGTCTTCAAGTATTTCTACGCGTGTCTCACATGACGCTGCGTGTAGACAAAGTTCAAGACCAGCATCAATCGCAGAGCAGGTACTTGAGACAAAAGACGGCATTTCCGTACAATCACAGATTCATCAATCACCTTTACTTGTCTTTTTGTATCCGACGGAATGGGCCCGTACGGTCCTGGCCACGCAGGCCTGTGGCGTCCTCGGAGAGAATCACCCGTGGCCCCACGCTGTTCCATGCGAAACGCATCGCGGATCCGGCGAGGGCGGCCAGATCGTACGTTTTCGCGCTATCAAGAGCAAAGGCTGGGATAGAAAACCGCTATTGCAGGGGTACGAGGGCGGGCGGTATTTGACCGTCTGCCCAGGTGTTGCATGGAGATGGCCCAACAAAGGACCCAGAGGCCACACAGACTGAACACGTGACCGGGCAGAAAGACCTTCTTTTCATGTATCGATATATATATAGTGGCCACTGATTCCTTCTTTCCTCTTGAACAACCAAGGACGTTTGACACCCTAGAGGATTGTCTTCAAAACCAAGCACGTCTTTCCAGCCAAGCCCACTATGCCTCTATCACACCTGGTGCTGCCGCTCCGCATGTGCACAGCACGCGGCTCGTTTCTATATTTTTTATAAAACGGTCCATCTGCCACGGCCACGTAAACACTTCACGCGTGAGTTGACGCGTGGTGTGATAAGCGTACAATAGTGGGCTTGCCTGAAAAGACTTGGTTCTGAATATAATATTGGAGGGTATTTGAAGGTATGCCCGGCGAGTCATGTGCATGCACATACAATCGGGAGATGGCGGTACAGTATATCCCAAAGACAGTTGTATTGTAATGCTAGATGCTGCCATCGTCGGCTCCGTTTATGGTATCCCTTTTCGGGACCCATTCTAATAGTATTAAAGGTTCTTAATTTTTTCAAGATGAAGAGAGGGATAAGAATAAGTGACTATATAAAGGAGACGTTTATACCTAGAGCTCTTGCCCGGCCGTGTAACCAGCAGGTCCTTTGCCGGTAAAACCCCTTATTGGGCTTTAAGTTGTTGGCCTTTTCTGCGTACCAAGTGGTCAGCAGCTACCCGTCAGCAACCAAGTAGCTAGCCCGCTTAGTTGCCGACGGGTACCAAAGTGGACTCCCATCCTCCAAGTAGATGACAAGAATATTGTTCGCCATACGGGTTAGCCTGGAAACTCTCGCGGTTATCACAGCCCCAGGGCCCACCATCACGTTGAGTAGTTGGGCAAGAAACACCATGTGGTATCGCTTTTATTCAGTATATACGCCTCTGAACCAGCTCTCCCAGTCATCCCGGCATGTAGATAATCCCGGGTCTATGTACAGTCGTCGTTGCATCCTGTTGCAACCATTGCGTGAATTTTGAAGAGGGTAAAAGGGGGAAAGATGCCCAAAAGTGCTGTGCGCCGCTGAAACAAGTAATAACAGTGAAAAAAAAAAGGTTCATTAAAATGCGTATAGTAGGCTGCGAGAGGAACCATGTACATCATGTCGCACGCGCCAACGCAGTGAGCCACGTCTATGTATAGAACCAGTACATGGCAGTGTACTTGGTGCTATCTTGGCCGGCGGCATTTTCACAACCGTGGCTGTTACCTCCGGCTGTTGAGACACGGTAGACCAACTTTGCGTCGCCCACGGTGCCCTCTTTTGCGCTGAGTTTGAGCCATGCAACGGCGCCGGTGCCGTCTGGTCCCTTGTCCGCGTTGGCGGGAGCATCCACCCCTGCGTCCTTTCCAGCAAGCACGTTGATCTTGCCACCGTCCAAGATGAACTCGGGGACACCAGCGCTGTTGAAAAGGTGGTGTCCCAGAAAGGGCGCTTTCGAACACTCGAGGTCGAGGGGGGCGTCTTTGGGGAATGGATCGGTTTGAGAGGCGCCGGGAGAGTCAGGTTCAACTCGTCCTTCCGTAGATGAGTTGAAGTTCAAGGGCACATCTTGTGTCTGCAGAACGCGGGAAGTAAGGCTGTCCCAATCCTTTTGTGAAAGAGATTGACTGCTTTGGCCGGGATAGAAGTTGGTGATATCGTAGAGCATCGCCAGAGCACCAGTAGCCGCGGGGCTCGCGCCCACGCTAGCGCACGTATAGTTCTGAATACCAAAGCCCAGGGCGATGTGGAGAAGCTTGGAACCCTCTGGGGGCTGTGGAAGGTTGCTGGCTGTTAATTGCACTGTTAGCGGCGGCTTCAGCCGGTGGCAGGCTCTCTCATCTGACTTACCGCCACCAGTTTGGGGGAGAGCTGGAGCCTTGGGGCTATTCGCGCAACTCGAACCAGTAGGCAGTGCTAGCGCCAATGAGGCTGATAGCAGGACTAGATATGCCTTGAACATGCTGGCTGTGATGATGAACTCGAAAGGAAAACAGAACGAAGACGAAAGAGAAAAAAGAGGTAGAACAGGTGTAGATCTTCTACCGCAATGGTGAATTCGAGAAGACGTTAGGAAGCACGCCGACTTGATATAGTTGTTGGTCGAAGGGATGGAGACGAGCCAGGGGCGGCAGCTTGGTGGCTAAACTAGCCCGATTATGGCAGGACGGTAAGCAATGTACAAGAATAGAATCCAGGAACCAGTCAGTGGCCTTCAAATTACGGCCTATTGGTGGTGTACCCGCCTGGGCGCTTATAAGGACGGTGGCGTGCAGTAGTGTAAATTTGCTGGAGGCGGAAGACGGGTATGGATGCCGGACACAAGTCAACCAGCAAAGGCAGCAGGGGCAGGGCAGGGAGGCGAGCTCAAGTGGCGGTTCCTCAAAAAATCGCAAACGTATTCCAGAAGCGGCATTAAAGAAGGGCAGCGTGGTGCTTTGGAATCCGAGTAAACCTGAGTAAGAGGAGGGATGGGTGGCGGCTTATATAGCTGAGTAGATGATGGCTTAGCTGTGTAAGACTTTGGTGAATCCAGCGTGTCCGGGGAAATTGCAACGGAGCTTGGGGCGTAATGCAATGCAAGGTCTCTTGCCACAACGACTTCGGATGATGACTGGGATGGGTGAGCGCTTCGTTTGGCCCCTCATGGTTATGCAAGATGCTGGTGGTGGTGGTGTGCTTGACCATGTGGTGTTATGCATGGCCAATTGATACAAGGCCCTGGCGTCTGCATTTCCATAATTCTCTGCCATTTAATTTGCGGCATCTGTCTTTTGCCAAGTCGATGCAACGGGCGCTTGACTCGGTATCTTGTATGTATGCGGGGAACGATCTCTGTGCCCGCCAAGGTCCGAAGTTTGCGTATAGTCGTATGAATTGCCGCCCGCCATAGTACAGCCCGGCGAGTTGACATGCGAGCAAGCAATACTGCAACGTCATGATAAACCAGACATCCTTGGCGCCTCTCGTTCGTGTCAATAGCTCGCGAACGATTGCCACAAGCCACGCCGAGGAGGCAGGCTAGCAGGGTTCTGCCCGAGATGGTTTCAAAGGGCATCGGAGACATGCAGATATGCCGTGACCACAGATCAAGGGCGGGACGCAGTCGGGCTGGGCTGCACTGCGCTCGGTCACTGTCCTGAAAAAGACGCAGGTTCGCTGTCTCGACAGCTGCATAGCTGCATGACACCTGAGACGCACCATGTCTACACGACTCCATGATCCTTGTCGAGTCTGGTGCGATGCTGGACAATGCTGGTTGCCGGTAGCCGCGCTTAGCACTCCATCATATGACCAACCGCTGGCCAGATGCCCTCCACTCCAGATGCCCCAATGCACGAAATGGTGTTACAAGGAAGACTGTGAATGGTTCGTTTAGCGGAGGCTTGCGGAACCGAGGGAAGCATTTTGGACTCTGCGGGCGCAAAGAGGCTAGCTGACGCGGGCCGTATGCTACCCCAGGATGCAGCGTCAAGAATAGAAACCCGTGGTGGTGAAGCCGTCGTGGCAAGATGGACTTGTTTCCAGATGTTTTGTCGGTTTCCCGTCGTCTTGTTCTAGTCGGCCAGCCTCCCCCGCCCAGAGGTGATCTACCCTTGGCGATCCTCAAACGGTGGACGGCGCCATGACGATCCTTGGTCGGTCGGGAAACCGCACGTGCGGTTTGGTGCCCTGTCCCAAGAGCAAGGCAGCAAAGGGATAGCGAGCGATGGTGCTGAAACAGTTTGGTGTTTTAGCATTGGCTGTTGGGCGTACATGGCGATGAAATGAAGTTGGGCAAGCCGCAAGACGTCAATCCAGTACGCACGAGTCGAGGCACGGGGCAAACAGTGTGCAGTCTGGTACTTGTACCTTGTACCTCGTACCTCGTCTCAGCCACATGACGCCAGACCTCTCCTTTCCCATTGACAGCTGGTCGACAGCTGGTCGACAGCTTCGATTCAACATAATCGAGTGCTCGGGCCTTTTTCCCTCTGGTGATATCGTATCATTACGTCTAGATTTGTTTCGCATCACAGCATCCGCGCCGCTATTCCCCAGTCCCATGCAAGGACGGAACACCTGGTCCAGCGTGCAGTTGGTTATTGTTCAGCTGCGGAGTACTCCGTATTGTCACCGATATCGTCATTCCGTCCTATGACCATGGAAACGCCCCCAGGCGCCACCTTCAATGTTCCAATCCTTCGGTATGGTTTCAGCTAGTCAGCCACCGAGTCGCTGTGCAGCAGCCACATCCTTCCCTGGCGTGACGCATTGATCTCAGAGAGGCAGAGCTCACAGTCACAATGCCATTGTTGCCAGTCGGCACCAGCGCATGAATCGATTCTTGTTCCCAGTCCCGGCTTCTACCCTCTAAACTGCGCACCCTCTGCTCGACGAGCTGCCACCCCGTCCACACAAAGAACATTTTCAAGGCCCAACTGCTCTTCTCTGCAGGACCAGAGGCTTCAATGGTACATAAGCATAGTGCGAGCGGTGTAGTGTCATGGACAACTTGGAACGCATCAATGTCCATCCATGCTCATCTCATAAAGGTTCACACACGACCACACGACCACACAAAACCAGACGCGACTAACTTTCCAGTCACATCTATAGCGACCATGTTGGGCTATGAAGCTACCAAGCTGCCTACTACCAACCATTGCGTCGACCGCGTTGGAACAGTGAGTTTTTTGAATCAGGCTTCTTCAGAGGAAACCCCGAGCAACGCTGCACACACTAGCCGAGAGTAGAGCCATCGATAAGAAATCTGGATATAGGTTAACAACAAATTTCAACCGCCGGCCGCCTGTAAAATTTCCGTCATTAGCTCTGCTTGTCAAGCATGGAGCTGACATGACGGTTGCCGAGTCTCGGGCAGTAATGATGGTACGGAGAAGCTACAGGGTCGCGTTCCAGTCCCCGAGATATTTGAGTGGACCGAGGAAGGGGACAAAAGTTTAGCCATGAGTGACCTGACAACGATTTGAAGTGTATGGGGATTATATTCAGAGGCCCTCTACTAACAAGAGCACCAGGCTGTAAATTTATATTAATAGCTGTTAATTATAGTTTCTGTAAAAAGTAATAATCTTGTTAATAATAACTTGTACAAATAAAAGATTTTATTAGATTATTAAGTACTTACCCCCTATATACTTATTATCTTGGCATAGCCTAATACTGTGTTACCAGATGCTGTGCTTGCACCATACTCGTATCATGCTCGTATTCTTATTTGCCTTGAGAGGGATACAACGAAAAACTTGATACACTCCTTATAATAATTCCCTTTAATTATCCATAATCCCCCTTATCATGTCACACCTGGCTAAACATTCAGGGTCTGAAGCATATTGATGCTCAATGCAATCAAACTCACCCATGGCCATTTTGTTGCACCCAACAGGCTCCTGCCACCAGGACCAAATCAAACTGTGGCGGCTGTCATTGACTGGTAACCAGCGTATTGGGAATATTGTTAGGCAAAAAGGTAGAAATTCATCCGAGTCATTCCGCAAGGGGACTTGAAGAAAAGTGGCGAGTCAAGTACCTGATCCTCGTTCCTCATCCAGTAGATGGCGAGGCTTACTAGCACCCTTGGCTGTATTTTGAACTGTAAAAAGGCACATTAACTTGCAAATTGATTTCATATAGCCCTTGACTACATGACGATCCTACTTTAGTAACGCAGCTATAATCCCAATGCGCATGTAGGGTCGGTTGACGCTCGAACGTCTTAGTTGACGGAATAAATCATCTGGTCCCTTGGTCCGGTGTTGCCTAAATAAATTGGGCCAAGCATAGTTTGGCTCTATTTATACCATACTCGACGCCAAATAAAAGGGCCTACTCGCTCCAAGGCAGGTCGGCAGTGAAATGACCAGTCCTGCACCCAACATGCCAGCCAACAAGACCGCACGCTTACGCGCCGCGCGGCAAGGCAGCATCATGATGATCCACAAGACACGTACAGACCTTGCCCGTTTGACCAATAATATAAAGGCCTCTAGTCCTGATAATGAAAGGGCAGCTTTTCAAGACTTGTCGCGAAGCCGCTTGACCGCTCCACAGACTAAGCAAAGCTCCAAGTCTCTGGCATGGCCTTTTCACTTGTTCGGTGCGCTTTGCTTAATAAAAGTTAGCCGCCTTCTCTCAAGTTTGTCATCGGCTCAAGCGCATTGCATCCCATCTTTCAACCATGACCGCCGGCCGGTCAAAAGCTGAAGCTGGCAGTGCGCCGCCTCCGCCAACACCGCCGCCTCCTCCTCCCGGCCCATTGGGAAGCACACCGACTCCCAGTGTTCCTTCAATCAAGCGGCCAATTGTGGCACCGACTGGCCCTGGAGGTTCATTTCTCGTGGAATTGATAACCTACAACGGAGCACCTTTTAAAGACCACTGGGCATACTGGGTCCGCTCACAGAGTGATCCCGACATCGGGGTCCAGTTGCACGCCACTGGAGATGTAAGAAATGGATTTTCACTCGAATTCAAGCGAAGCCATGACCTTAGAGATACTGGAAATATTCCTTCTACAAGAATTCCGTTGCAGTGGGTTGATGGCCGGTACTTTGATGAGAAGACAATGCTCAATAACGGCATTCACAAGCTCGATACCGTGCCGGTCTGTATGTTTGAGGCCTCGGCAAGCAAAGTTGATGCGCCTGGGAAGACACTAAACTCAATTAGTACCACGGTGAGTACGATGAACGATGGGTCTTGATTTGCAATGTGAATGCGCAAGAGCTGATGCATGATTCTCCAGGCTTGCCCGAGAAGTATGATTAAACAACGAAACTGCCAGACCTGGATCGTTGAGTCGGCAGATCAACTTGTCAAGGATGGAATTTTCAAAGCAGAGACTGCGGCCTATCTTCGCAGTGTCGAACAGTGATTTGGTGAGGAATCTATCTCTCGGGGCGATGCGTCCGATTTAGTGCATCGTGTTGTATACCGCTACTGCCTGACGTCTGAGTGAGAGGCAAAAGGTATATGATTGGATCAGGTACCAGGCTACTGCGCTCTTTACCATAATATTACAGGATATTAGTGTAAACGTCTGGGTTGGCAAACATGTTCTGTCACAGGCTATAGGTTAGTTGCCACCCAAAGGTAGAGTATATCAGGAGACGTACGATAACTGTCTAATCTGCATTTGAAGTTCAATGTTTTTCCGTCTTCCGCCACTATTTTCTTGCTTAGTCTAAGTAAGTCTGATTAGGAGGGCATTACTACCAGCCACTCTTGACTTGCAAAATTTCGTCAATGTACAATCTACTCTCTCGGCGTGCCCATGATATGATGGGGTGTTCACCGCCCGCCATTTGGACGAATTATTACAACCAGCGTGTGAGATTTCTAGCTACAAAAGCCTTGTAATCGTACTAACATAAGGGCTAGCCTAGTAAGAACACTAGAAACTATATGCCAAGTAATTTAAAGCTATTGGAAGTACGTTGGACGTATAGCATCGACATATGGCACGTGGGCTGCATGGTACACAGGGCATCTCACGAAGGGCCGGTCTTTATTTCGCAGATATGGAACATTTTCCAAGGCGACTCCCTCTTCACCGGCCAGGACTCAGAGCTCTATACATACCGGAGCCGAGCTCTCCTCGCCGAGCGATAAGCCTTCTCGGGCCGCCGCCGCCTCATTTTGTCGCCCGAGGCCAACTAAACCACAATTTTTTTTTCTTCGCAAGGCAAACTTTCTTTCCGGACCCTCCTGTCTTTACCGCGGCGGTATGGCATCTTGAGGTCGCGCCAGTATTGGTTGACAGGTTTCTGCTCTCGGCATGGCATGCCTGCAGCTGTGTAGCAGTTGGGTTTCGGCATCGCCAACTGGGGTGACGAGTTCATGTGCCCGACGAACCGCACTTTGCAGAGGGCGTGTCAGTTGACCAAGGACAAAGAATTACCGGCATCCGTCAATCGAGGATACCACCGTGACGGGCAGCTGGTTCCCTTTCGCTGCTCGTTTTGCGCCGCGTGCAAGTAGCCGAGTTGCACGCAAGTCACTCCAGATCAGTTCCATAGAGAAAAGGGCGTGTCGCACAGTATGCAATATGGACCTCGCACTCACGACCCACTCGACTGTCACCGTCCCCTTCAACACCAAGCCGCACACAATCTCCATCATCAACGCCGTCACGCCCGTCGACAACCCACCATGTCGCGCCGCCCAGCAAAAGGCGACTACATCGAAACCGTACCTCGCCCTCCCTACCCCCCCCCCCCTCCCACAATCCCCAACTAACTCCCCCGCCTCCGCACAGGACACGGGCAACAAGGTCGCCCGCAAGGCCATCCTCGTGGGCACGCAAAACATCATGCTCGGCGGCAAGACAGTCATCCAGCCCGAGGTCATGATCCGCGGCGACCTGGTGCGCACCGCGCCCTCGTCATCCTCGGCGCCCACGAGCTCCACCGCCGTCGCCATCGGCCGCTACTGCTTCCTCTCGCGCGGCGTGCTCCTCCGGCCCCCCGGCCGCCTTTACAAGGGCGTCTACACCTACATGCCCCTCCGGCTGGGCGACCACGTCTTTGTCGGCCAAAACACCGTCGTCCAGGCCGCCACCGTCGGCAACCACGTGTCCATCGGCCGCGACTGCGCCGTCAACGAGTTCGCCATTGTCAAGGACTACGTCAAGATCCTCGACGGCAGCGTCGTGCCCTCTTCCATGGTCATCCCTAGCTTCTCCGTCGTCGCCGGCCGCCCGGCCAGAGTCGTCGGCGAGCTGCCCGAGGGCGCCTTGGACGACTTTGAGCTGCGCGACATGTACAAGACTGTTGGGAACAATCCGCAGCCGGCTGCGTAGGTGGCCGCGCACGAGTGCCGCCGGTCCGAGGGAAGCTGCATGCACGTGGGCGTATGGGATCGTTGCTTGTGTTGTTGGTTGTGCCGATTATTGATACCCCGAGAGCGCGCGTTTAAAAATACGAATATAGACGAGGCTTTGATGCTCTTCGACAAGAATAGGATTTCATGGCGTCGTGTTTCTAACTTTTCTCTACTCTAGCATACGCCTCGATGATCCTCTTGCCGACCATTTCACCGCTCCAATACGCCCCTGTTGCTGTTCCCACTGCCACAAACGGCGCCGTGTGCTCGCCCGCGAACCAAATCCCTTGATCGGGCAACCCTTCCCTCATGATTTCAATGTCCTTGTCGCCGTTCTCTAGGCCGACCTGGAAATTGCTGTAGCTTCCGTTCCCTGCGAGTTCGTCATTTAACCACTCCGTCGCAAGGAACCCGAGGGGATGGCAATCCGACGACTCGGCCGAGTAGTTTGGCAACAGGGAGTAATACGGCTGGAAAAAATCCGTCAAGAAGGCCGTCCGCTCGGCCTCGGTTGTCAGTTGGGCCAGCGTCGACGTCATGTGTTTCGACTGCTCGCCAAACGTGTAGAATAGCAGCGTTGGGTGGTTGTCCGGCGCGGAAAGGCTGCCGAGCTCAAAGGCATCTTGGTGCCAGCGGCGCGGGTTGGAAGGGGCGTAGGTCGGCGTGATCCATTCTATGAAGCCGCTCATTTTGGTGCCCACGAGCCAGAACGCTGTAGGGAAGGTGACGTATACCTGGCCGTGGTCAGCGATGACTGCCCGATGGTTGAATGAGTCGTTTTACTCCTTGCATACCTTTTCGAGACACCCATACCCAATTGAGTCGATGGCCTTTGTTAGCCGCGCCGGGAGGCGGGGGTTGAATGCTTCTGGGTGTCTTTTCAGCCAGCCCAGCGGTGCGGTGACGACAACTTCGTCAAAGAGGAGATGACGACCGCCGTCTAGTTGCACCTTGACCTTGTTGCCGCTCTGGGGCGGGTGCGTTATTTCCGTCACCTTGGCGTTCAACATGATATCCGCCCCGGCCATGGCGGGAGCCGCGATGTGGTCCAATATTTTCTTGTACGTGCCGGCGCAAAACAAGTTCTCTGGTGCACAGTCAGTGTCTAGTAGAGGTTTGGTGGCAGTTCACACGTGTGAATACCTCCTTCCAAGCACTCCTCCAACCAAAAGTACTTGAGGCTTTGTTGAGAAACCGGACTGCCAACAAAGGTCCCCCACATCTCAGCCAGGCGAAGGACGGCTTCCCGTTTCTCGGCGAATTCTCCGTCGCTTTCGGGGATCATGGCTGTTAGCCTCTCACGGACAAAGTCTAGCAAGCTCTTGTCGGCGTGAGTCTCTGCGCCGTGCGCGTTGGAATGCTCAAATGCTTGTTGAACGAGGTCCCACACCATGGCGCTGCATCTTTGGCCGTCTTCCTGTGACATCAAGTCGCCAAGATGATCATGCACCCACACATTCGAGTCCAAGCTTCCCGCGGCGGTATTTGTGTGTTTGGCAATGTCGAGAATGGGGTTGTCGTCGGTTCCATGGATCCAGTTGGGGCCAAGGTCAACAACAGCCTGCCCGCCGGGGAGCCTTTCCTGATGCACCCGGCCGCCTATGCGATCTCTTGCTTCGATTACGGTGACCCTGATGCCATTTTGTACGAGTACATCGGCACAGCGGAGGCCAGCCAGACCGGCGCCAATGATTGCGATGCTGGGTTTGGATGAGGATGACTGGCGCCGCTAGGAAGAGAATCTGCGTAAGCTACTGAGCATATTGATGACATGGAGTACTGCTTCATGTCACAGCCATGATGGGGTTCCGGGCTGTGTGTAAATTACTGCAAATGCCAAAGCCAAACAAGAGGGGGGTAAATGAGTTGGATGCGCAGACTGGTTTTGGCACGATAATACCTTGGAGGCGCGGGGCTCGGAAAGACTCATATCGTTCATGTCATTGAATGCCACACAACTACTTTGGGCGACGAAGCTGCCAAATAAAGCTGCTCTCAGATCTTCATAAATTCTCGACGGATGTCGTAGGGCTGGGCTAGTACGGCATATCGAGTAAGCATCCATATCTAGAATGGAGGGATTTTGTGGTCACGCTTGCACGCTCAGGATGGGAGGAGGGTAACTCGAGTGACTCTCAGGGAAATGGATGAAAAAAAAAAAAATTGAAGAGGGGAGATAGTTGAAGGCGAGGAAATAGGACCAAGTTGTACTCCTGTCGGCCGTTGAGATGCAAAAGTGGCCGACCCCTATCTTGATTCCCATTGTGGCTCATTCAGTGCGCAGCCACATGATGTCGTGGGGGGGTGACGGGAATGGCATTCGTTGGCCAGGCAGAGACGGGCTTACCACACATGCATTGAGGCCGAACGGACACAGGGAGATAAAGGCCGAGATTTGATGCCAGAGCCCGATGTGCGCGGCTTAAACGTGGTGCAGGCAGCAGGAAGACGCACGGGTTGGTTGCAGATGTTTGAACCATGAGGGAAGGGATGATGGGGGCACGACGGGATGCGGAGTGCATGCCTAGGTAGCAATGAGAAGTGAACATTGAACGAATGCACTTAGTAGGCGGGGTTGGCATCTGCATCTGCATACCCAGGTCTAGTATATGAACATTGAACCGGACCAGACACCAGCACTGAGCGTAGTCAAGACCAACAGCTGATGCATAAGGGCAAAGTGGGCTGGTCAGGTGGTGAAGTGAAGATGAGATTGATGCTTCGACGTGCGCCTTGGTGATCACGCCTCCATGGCCGGCCCCACTCTGGACACATGGGCATGTGGGCTTGAATCAGAGACAGTCTGGTGCATGGGCGAACATGGAGCTTCAAAAGCCATCCATATCATCGATATGAGCTGGCACCTGAGCTACAACAAGTCTGGTCAATGGTGCCATATTCGAGTCACTAGCGCCCCAGCGAACTCGACGTGGACGTCTGGTGGCATCTGGACAGTGCTGGCTGGAGCCCGGCCAGATCGGACGCCACCTGAACAGTGAAGCGTCAAGACTCCAGATGTCAAGTTGGTCCAGGTCCAATGTCTGGCCCATGTCCACTGGCAGTACGTACTTGTCAAGTCCCTGGTGCATTGATGTCACCACCACCACCGACCAATGCCGGCTCGGCAGCTGCCTAGGCGTCCGGCCTGGCATCAACTCGTCTAGTGCTCGCCCCTTCCATGTTCCAGCCCTCGCGTGTCTTTGCCCCAACAACCGTTTTATCAACACAGAACCTTATTCTTCAGCCGACCAAAATGCACGCGATACACCATCGACCTTGACTTTGCCTTCCATCTCATCGACGTGTCTGGCGACCCCGACCCCTCTGGCCCAGCAGTCCCGCACCATGAATGGCCTCCTCCCCGCGTTTGCGTTTGCGTTTGCGTTTGATACAGAGCCTGGTCATCTCGCGACGACTCCGTGCTTCTCTCATCGCTGAACCGCCTACAAAACTCGCGTCACGTCCTCGGCCGGCCGGCCTGCCTTCCACGCCCCCGAACTGTACACAACCGCACCTCGTGGCCCTTTGCCTTCGGTCACCCAGTCATCATGGCCACCTTGTTCCAGTCGTTTCGAGGCTCCGGCATGCCTAAACGCCTGCTGCGCTATGCCCTGTCGCGCCTCGACCTGCTTGATGCCGACGCTCTCGATATGGATAATCTCGATTTGGCAATAGGAAGGAATACCGTGTTTGAATTCCGAGATGTTGGCATCAAACTCAAGGTGCGTTGGTTGCTCAGTTAATCCTTCGTCTTGTGTTTTGCTCCTGCTAATGCCCGCTTCTAGAAGCTTCAAAAGCTACTAAGCCTGCCGCCTACATTCGGTCTCGACAAAGCCAAGGTGCTTCTCCTCCGCATAACTATACCCATGGACTTCTATACGAGCCCCATTATCGTCCAGGTCGATGGTGTCCACGTCCGCTTAAAAGTTCTGGGTGATGTATCCAAGACGGCTCGGACATTGAATACGCCAACTCAGGAAGCTTCTGTGGTTCCAAATACGGCCGACTTGGCGCAATCTTTTCTGGAAACAGAGTCATTTTCTGAAAGGAAGCAACTGGAAGATGCACTGGCTGCAGAAACGAACGATCTGGGCGCATCCGTCACCATGAGCGAGGATGGAAGCGAAGACGAGTCGCCATTCTTCGGCACAGGACAGCCGCTATCGCTGCCTGGATTTCTGGCGGACTTTTTACAGGGCATCGTGGACCGAACGCAAATCTCCATAAACAACGTTGTGTTCCAGCTGGACCTGGAGGTTCCTGCCGAGTTGAATTCATCCAAGCTTGAGCCAGTTTCCTTCCAGGTTGCCTTGGGACAGATCAACGTTGAAGGCATCACCACCGATGATCAAGGGGGAGATGGCGGCGCTGCGCAAATTGTCCACCAGGAGGGCAAGCGCCATGTTTCGCTTTCGAGTATCCGCGCATGTTTGATATCCGAGGCCGGTGCCTTTGCCTCGCTGACTCGTTCGCCATCGACAGCCTCTCCATCCCTTGCTTCTTCACCAGCCATGACGAGAAACCCACCCTCTCGACAAGCCACTTTCCTGTCACAGGGCAGTTTTCATGAACCGCCTATGGTAGCCCTCCAGGAAAGTTTTCGGGAGCGCCTATCGGATGATGATGAAGCTTCAGATAGCCAAGACTACCCTCTTGGTGACAGCGAGGATGCACTAGCGATACCATATGACTTATCGGATATGGAGCATGCCCTGGATGAAGAACTCGAAGACGACTTGGACAAACAAGGCCCACTAACCCCCCGTGCGTCGAAATATCTCGACTCCTGCGAATTTCCAAGATCATCGCATCTCTTTCATTCTATTATCGAATCGGGCATGACGTCACCTATGCAGCCCCGGGCGGCTAGTGATCTCCTAGAGCCAGGCGTGTCCGCTGAACACGATAATTTGGTTCATGCCGAACAGTATCATGAAACTGGCTCGTCTCATCTGGCCTCTTCGGACCTGTACAGCG